GACTAATTTTATAAACGTGCTTCCACTAGTTAGATAGAAGAGCTTCAGAGGAAGTTCTTTTTAAAAATTAGTTTTCAAACAAAAATAATTATAATTTTCACTAAAAGTTCTTCTACAGAAAACAAAAATCATGTCAAAAAAATCCTTAAATCTTCTTGAAAATATCAGATATTGAATTTGATTTTTTGCTCTCTGTCAAATTCTCAAGGTACTATTGTATGAGTAGAATAGTGTTGTGTGTTACCATAATTCATGTGCGCAAATTACTTTTTAATTCAATTTTTAAAAAATACAGGGGTGACGACAGGGAAGCGCCAAAGTGACCATTATCATCTCCATCTCGTTCGAGTCTTTTTGGAAGGACGGACAGGAATGGGAAAGATTATTAAATCCCCATTCAACGTAGATAATTTACGTATTCGTTTTTTCTGACATTATTTTTTGTTTTATGAATATCCCGTGACTTTTACCATTGGAGGCAAGGATTATAAAATCTTCATTTGTCGTCTCATTTATTTTTTGTCTATTTTATTAAAAAAAAAATTAGTACAGATTCAAAAAATTCGAGGTGGACCATTTTTACTTATATTCCCCTTTTACTATTCGGGGAAACTAATGCATGACTGATACATGTAAGATTATTTGAGTAATGTTATTCATCCCCAGTGGAGTTACAAATACAGTTTATGTGACTTTAAATGATTGGTTAAATGTAAGGTGAAATTAAATGACTTATTTAATTTCACCTATCATTTAATACCACCTAAACTGTGTTTATAACCCAAATGGGGATGAATAGTATTTACCTAGATTATTTTCTCTCTCTAATCACATACAAAAAACGAAAAGCAAGTTCGTGACACTCAAAACAAAGTTTTTGAGATGTCAAAGGTTGCAATCATGCTACACAAACAAAAGTCAATGATAGGCTTAAAAATAAGGACACATGACGCATCATAATTGGACAATTTAAAAAAAAAAAAAAATCATCCACACAGGTGCCGACAACACATTCCAAAAGTTGAGTGACACCCTTTTCACAATCCATCCATCCTGACACCTAGAGGTGTCAATCCGGGT